GAATACGCTTCAGGGATTCTGAGAAACTTTGATCTTAATGTCATGGAAACACCTGCACAGGTCCTTCCGGAATCTGTGATGAGCGCCTGCTGCGTGCCTGACGCAGCACCCACTTGGCTCTTGCCCACAGAAAGCTTCCTTTCGGCAGCTGGTACCCAAGTGCCACCTGCTGGTGTGCTGAGGTTAGCTCCGAGGACCGATGGTCGACCCGGCGGTTCCCCGTCAGGCCTTATCAGATGCTGAGGGGACGACTGCTGTGCGCATCTCCAGTTGGCTGCCGATGCCGGGTGAAGGCCGCTCGCGGTTCTCTCTTGCGGCGGCGCATAGGACCCCCGTCCCCCTATCCGCGTCTGCCTTTTTTTCGGCGGCACCTGCCACCACACAACATACTGTGTCATTGATCTCTTTGTTGTGGTCGTGGCGAACTGTGCGGCGCTCAGCCAGCGCGTGTGCTCTGGCGGCCAGGGATCCCTTGCACATCCTGCACGCCTCGGCACGCGGGAAACACTCATCCCGGGGCCCGTGACTGGGCCGTGTCCGACTGCACGGCAGGTCAACGACCAACAGATCGATCATGGCAGGCGTCAGGATCAGTCTCCTGCACTCGGCGCGGGCCTGCTGGTCCAGAGGCCGACGGCAGGAGCGCCCGGGCCAGAGCCATGTGGGGGCCTCAGAGGCATAAGGGAGGAGGAGACGGGAGACAGGGAGCATAGTAGACACGTGTAGACGTGGTTCCAGACAGAACGGCAACAAAATCTGTCGGAGTGAGACTGGTTCATAGCTGAGTTGCAAAGAGCGGATTTACACGTCCGACATAAGAGCGTAGTCGTGTCTGCGGTGAAAGGTGACCGAGCGTGAGGCCCGACGGCACATTCACACTGGCGTCCTGCTGTGTTCAGTGCTTGGGCTCACTGGGCGTTTGCTGGAGGGACGAGACTGCGCGGCTAATGCCTCGTGACGTCTTTGTGCTCGTGTCTCCAGGAGAAATACTGTTACATTTGCCCGGACATAGTCAAGGAATTTGCCAAGTATGACGTGGATCCCCGGAAGTGGATCAAGCAGTACACGGGCATTAATGCGATCAACCAGAAGAAGTTCGTTATAGACGTTGGCTACGAAAGATTCCTGGGGCCTGAAATTTTCTTTCACCCAGAGGTAAGAGGTTTGCTCCCGGAGAGTGCACAAGTGAGGCGTGCGTGGCAGGACTGACACGTCGTGTGCGTGGGGGCCGCCCCGTCTGCGTGGCTGCTGCCCTCTGCCTCCGCACAGATCTCGTGGTCGAAAAGCCGGTGACCGATTGGCCTGCAGGCGGTTGGGGAGAGCAGAGAAGGTGATGGAATTCAAAGCGAGCTCACGCTGCTGCGGAAACTAGTTTCTCTCAGGGACCAAGTGAAAGTTGCCTCTTTTTAAAAGTGGGGTGACACGTGGCCTTTCCCTCTTTCGTGACCATCCTTCCTAATCCCGGGGTTTAGCCCAGGACAGTCCATCCTGCAGGGTGGGTTAAGCTTCTGCCCGAGGGCTGGCCTTGTCCACCGTTATGTAGTGCTTGAGAATTACACACGTCATCAGTTTAACTGTTAGTCACAAAGAATTATTAGTTTTGCGGGAGCAGTGATTATGAGGCAGCATTTTAAGGTTTAAATGAAAGGCATTTTACTCATATTTTGGTCTGTTTTTCTGCCTAATTCAGCTTATGTTCCCT